ATTTTTCAGGCAACAATGATATACACTTGTGCACAATATTACAAGGAGTGTTTGGAAATAATTTACAACAGTACTTAATTGTACCTTATTATGTAACATAATTCAACACAGGATCTCTCAATATACTCCTCACCAATGTCAATTCATCATTGACATCTCTCTCTGGTAACTTCATAATGGCATTACAGGTCCATTTTTTGGGGTACTATGGCACCATTCATGGACAGCTGTCTGCAGTTCTTTGCAAACTTTTGACCTTGCAGAAAGTTCATATTGTCAAATAAAGCATAATTAGATGGAGCAAGATCTGCTGAATATGGTTGTTGCAACACAACAGTGAACCCAGTGATATTCCAACTTTGCAGTTATGGTGTTGCTGGTGTGGGGCTGTGCATTGTCATGTTGGAGCAAAATTTATCATAACCACTTTCCTTTCTTGTTGCTGAATTCTGTATCTAAGCCACATAAGGGTCTTGCAATACATGGTTGCAATACCCTTGATGGTTGTTTCTTGTGAAGCCAGTGCATTAACAGTGTGTCTGAAATGTTTCAAAAGCTGAGATCATCTGCTTGTACAGCAGCATTAAATTTCTAGGGCTGGGATTTCCTGATGTTTATTGCATGTATTGGAATTTCTTCTCTGGTGTGTGGTAGTGGCAACATGATTCATCACCAATTACCAGCTTCTCAAAAAAATCTGGATCTTATTTGTGCATTTCTAGATGCTGATGAGTCTTCCACCTTTTTATCCTTTTATGCTATGTCAATTCTATGAAACCCTTCAGACAGTTTCATTGTTCCAGCAAGTTTGCAATGTTGATGGACAACCAATAGTTACATTATTTTATGCAGTTTCCATGCTGCATGAACCCTTTGACCCAGTTGTACAGTACATGGTCTTCTGTGCAGGATCTTCCTGAATACATACTGCAGTTTTGATGCATTCCACAAAAACCATGCAATCCATCTTTGTCCATGATAGCTGCCTTTCATTTGTCTGTGTTTCCCTGCTTACCAGCAAACATTGTGCTCTTGCTATGCACTCTGGTGGCAACTAACATCTAGCTTATGCATACTAATATCGATCTATTATCCTATGAGAAGGGTGTACCCACAGATTGCACAGTATTCATACAATACTGCATCTGTAAATCATTTCTGAGCACTCCTTGTAGTTATACAGTAATATAATGTTTCATATGAAAGTAATTTATAGTAGTCTCAAGCTTGACTCTTGATAACTTGACATTCCATAAAACTTGTCATGTCATCCAAAAAACAAAAAAAGAATTATATTATTCTAATTTTTACCTTTATAACTTGATACTAGGATCAAATAAGTTATGATTCTTTATTGGCAATACTTGATGATAGCATAAATTCCACGTTTTAACAAAGAATACAACTTTTTTTCAAGGTGTCACTGCAAAACATTATGATGCAAATATCATTAACTCAAAAGTAGCTACTGAATAGCCAATATTTTTTTGTACTTAAAATTTAGCTACAAATAGAAATAGTCATAATTGGTATGTAGTTAATAGGTATATGAATTTGCACATATAATACCTATATGAAAATTTGCTATTTAGACTAGTATTATCATTAGTCCACAAAACTTTCCAGTTTTGGTAACTTGTCATCTTCTCAGTCTGCATTAAGCCAAGTTTGCGTGACTCTACTGTAATATTAGAGATTTATTTTTTTTATCATTTTCTATTTTATTTTATTCATACATAATTTGAAGAAAATGTTTAACTAATAAATTTTTTGTTGTACAACTTTTTCTTAATGTTTAGTGAAAATCTTGTAATATAATTTTTAGTTTGTAGATAGTTATGAAGTTTTTGCTTTTATGTAGCTTTCACTTTTATTCTATATTATTTATGGTTTTATTAAAAAATTGGTTTTATGTATATTTATAAATTCTTTTTTATTGAAAGTTCTTAGATTTTTTGATAAAATTTTTTTCCTCATAAACATCACTAAGTTAGATCAAATGATTTCTATGGGCACTTTTGTTTAGGCTATATAGCTATTATTAATATTAGTTATATTTTTATATACAATGAATGACAGGTAAAGCAGTTGAAAACATTCAAATGTGTGTTAGAACAAATCAATATATTTTTTTGAGAACTGTTAAGAGATATTATTTTTTAAAAATCTTTCTCTTCAAATGAAAAATCATTCCAAAATTATTTTTTTTTGAAATTGGAATCAATAAAGTATTTAGAGTTCAAAATTATTTTGATTTTTAATGCTTGTCCAAAGTTTTATTTAATATAGAAATGCTATAAATTGAACAATTCTTATGTTAAATATTATTTAAGAAATAAACTTGAATCATCTTTAATCATCATTCAGTTTAGTTGTTGTTTATAAGCATAATTTGTTACATAATTTTTAAATGCACCTTTTCAAAAAGTTATTAAGTAGTTTTTGGAATTATTAAAATTAATCATTATTTTTTTTTATTCACTTAAAATTTCTTCATAATTGTGATAAAACTGCCATCTGCTATAAAAATTAAAATAGTAATATTAATAGTAATTCATTCCTACTTTATATTTAGTTTAAACATAAGTGAAAAAAATCACTTGTCAGATATAACAATATTATGTTACTGAAGGAACTGTTGTTTAAATTCTTGGCTTTTTTCTTACTTTTTATAGATTGAGATTTTTTAAAAATGAGACTCCTGTATATATTTAATATTTTAGTATAATGGATGCTTTAATAGTTTAAAGAAATTTATTCATAAATTAATTCTAATTTTTACTCTTTTAATGTATTTTCTATGAAATATTTCAATGTTTTTACTGTAAATCATTATTTAATATTAAATAAATGTTGTGCAATTGTTAATTTATCTAGTATTTTTAAAAAATTTGTGTGTAATAATTTGCATTTATTCAATAAATTAGCTTTTAAAAAATTAAACTCTAAATAAGAAAATGTTTTAGAAAATAATGTGCCCTTTGAAACTATTTGGAATATAATACCTAAATTTAAAAAAATATAAACTTACCATCTTCCATTGTCATAGCAACTATTTTATCTGATCTAGGTCCAGCTCCCAGCATATTATAGGCTTGAACAAGAATATCATATTTTGTGAATTTTTGAAGATTATCTAATTTGCATTTGGTTTGGAAATTCTTTGTCACTCCTAAAGTTTTATATAAATATGGTTCACTAGAATTATGAACTTTATAACCAACATAATAACCTTGAATTACACCATGTTGAAGTCTGGTTTCAGGTGGCTAGTAAATATTTAAATTAAANATATTTTATGGATATCCCTCTATATTAAATTAAATTTAAAATTTTTAATTTTTATTTTTAAACTTTATGCTAATCAAGTTCTAGAAGTGCTGAAAATACTATATTTAAATTAACATTCTTTAGTATTGAAATATAACCCTTCAACTTTCAGTTGTACTTACTTATATTGATTTTAAACAGGCAAAATTAGTGACAGACCTGCTTTGCTACAAGAACCAAGAGGCTATGGATCTCCACCCTATCGTAAGTACAGGGTGTTTAAAATAGTTAGTGATTTCATATTAAATCCAGTACAATTACACATTTAATTTGGAAAATTAATATAAGTTTAATAATGAAATAATACACTAATCTCTCTACTCCAATCTGAATCACATTCATTAAAAAATTTTTATATCTATAAAATTCCTAATATTTCAGAAATCCTAAGATATTAAAGTTTATGGAAATCCTGTATAATATATATAAACTATATTTAAGAATGATTTTTTTTTTCAAATATACCATTTTGTTTAGCTTTTTCTGATTTTATAAAATAAGTTTATATCATCCAAAGTACAAATTGCATGTAAATTATTACTTAATACTGTCATAAGAAACTAAAATATTCATAACAGTTTTTAATATCAGTTTTCTGAATAATGCAGAGTATTTTATCAACAGATGTATTTATTTGTTTTAGGTTTATTTTTTTTTACTTTAATTTATGAATTATAGTTTTTTTTGCTGACATTTTATTGATAAAACTGAGTACCGAGTAGGATATAATTTTAATTTCTAGCTTTTGATTTGATTTAATAATTAAATTATCATATTTATAAAAGTGGGGATTATCACACCATGTTATTTTTACCTCATTAATTATAAAAATTTTTATATGAAAGATATAAACAAAATTTATTCAGTTTTTAGACATTAGGTTTTGATCATTTATTTAGATGATTGTGTAAGAAATTTAAAATAATTATCAATATTATATATTTAAGAGTTATGTAGATAAAGAGCAGAAAAAATTAAGAGTTAATTAAACTAATTCAGTTCTTAGTAAGATTTATCTTACTAAGAATTAAACACAATATTTTCACATATATTTTACTTTTAGTTTTTCTTCATGAATGGAACTATGATTTTAAATGCATGTACTGTATAATACATACTGTCTAAATACAAAACTTTGGTTCACTTACAAATAAAATTAAAAAGAAATTCTGTTAATATTTGAATATTGAATTATTATATTTCAGATTATATTTAATAAAAAGAATGAGTTTCAATCTTATTTTAGTATTTAATAGATTTTTAATTCATAATAATAATACATTGACAACATTGATGTACTTGTAATTATTTTATTTGAATTTTCACTATTATGTTGGAAAGTAACCAGTAATACATCTAATAAAATTAAATGAGTATACAAAAAATATATAATTATGTAATATCAATTTGATACAAACTATAAGGGAAGTACTTAATAAACTTCTTGTTCAATTTTTCATTAAAAAATAATAATTTACTCTGAAATTAATGGTTAAATAGTGTATATCAGAACAGTTTGGAAATAATCAATGTACAATGATTAACTTTCAAAACGCTTTTAAAATGTGTTCTTATCAAAGTTCTATAAAAGTAATAATTTTAAATAACAAAAAAATGTAATTATTTTTTGCAAAAACCCTTCTACAACAGATTGTTTTGTTTAATATCATGGTTAAAAAATAAGGAAATGGAAATCTCATGGTCAACTTTCATTCGTAACCTTTTTTTTGTCATAATTGCTTCATCTTTATTTCTATTGTATTCAGATTCTTTGGTCATCATCATTGAAACAAATCGTATTTGTATTTCTTAGGCATGAAAATGCATTTTACTTATTTCTGTACATTTGATTTTGAATTAAAGTGAGTTAAATCAAATGTTGTAAAGATTTATGGAAAATCATTGAAAATAAATTTAATAACTTTGAAACTTAAAATTGATGACATTATTAGTAATAATTTTATGAATTTGAAATATTCAAATTTTATGAATAAGGAAAGAATTATATAAATCTTAAAAAATACCTACTACATTCCAGTTAAAAAATTTATAATCTTTAATTTAGCTTTCAATACTTTCACTATTGTCTTTTACAAATATTACATTTTTAACAAGAGGTTTTGATTTAAGATTTTATCACTGTGTTCTTTTCAAATGATTTTAATACAATAGTTTTGATTTATTATTATAAAAAAAAGGAAAATCAATTAATAATTCTTTTATAATCTGTGTAGAAGTATATTATTTAAAATATGTTTGCAAATGGCTATTATTTCATTCTTTTCATATTTTCCATTAGATCAAATAGTATTTTTTTCAGTGATTTAATTTTTTTAATGATGTGTTTTTATATGAAGAGATAAAAATAACATAATGCCATCATAATTTTGAAGTAAATATATTTGAATTCTAAACAAAATTTTTAAATTATTAATAGGTGATTACATAAGCATTGTAAATATTAAAATGTCATATAAGAAATATAAATTTATGAACTAAGAAATCAACATTTCAGTTATGAAACTGAAGATTAGTAAAATATTATTTTTATCTCTTCATCCATTTTTCTGTTTATAATACAGTTTAATAACATATTATGCAACTTTTTGATATCTATAAACATTTACAATTAACTTTACAACTTAGTTTTATCCATAAACATTTGCAATTAGATAGTTTATGATTAATATTATATGCAGTATCTACCCATATAAATTCTAATGTTTGTGAGTAGCAAAACTAAGATGAACATCAATGACTAATCTATTCAATCATCGTTGTAGTTTGTTGGGTTCAGTAGGGAAAATTGGTTAATGCCATTTTCATTGCTAGATCTGTTATCCATGTGCATTCGTCTTAGAACTTAACAGTAATTTTTAAATACAGTATTAAATACAATCTTTGACATTTAAGAAATGGAATTATTAGATATTATCACTAAAACTTATGATAAATTAGATACTTTTCTGTTTTGTATTAAAAATAGTGCTCAATTATATGTTTTTGAAGCCATGATAAAACAAATTATAAAATATAATTGTTTAACATTTTTTTCCTAAATTGGTTGCTTATATTACATTTCTTTCAATTTCTCACTACTAAGATACATTGCATTAATGTGTGTTTTGATATTAATATAAAAAGGGATTCAATATGTATATATTTTAATTCTAAAAAACATTTAGTGTTTTGAATTTAATTATATTTTCATGTAATTTCTTAAAATGCATGATCTTATATCTAGCAACTTAGACATGTAATTTGAACTATTTCTTTGCAATATATGTTACCTGTAGCAATAATGTCACAATAATTGTTTACAGTAAGAAATTATTTATTTTGATTGAAACTTTAAAATTTTCAGTCTCTTAGAACAATCTTCAAGTGTATATCAAAGTTAAAATTAAATAACATCATGTGTATGAGTATTCATTAAGCATAACTGAACATTATTAGATTAATAATTAGTTAATTATATGACTCCATTCTATTGGATTATGGAAATAGTCAAAAATATTAAAAATTTACACAGATGGTTATTGAGCATGTCATCATACATGAATCTTTATGCAAGTAACAGATAAACCCACATGTGTTTGGAAGCATAAGGAACTTTATGCTTCCAAACACATCTGGGTTTATCTGTCAAAACACATATCATGCTTGTGCTTCCAAATATTTGAAATGATAAATCCTTTCAAATATCTTTCTTTATGCTTCCAAACGTGTGGGTTTATCTGTTACTTGTACAAAGATTCATGTGTGATGACATGCTCAATAACCATCTGTGTAAATTTTTTAATATTTTTGACTATTTCCATAATCCAATAGAGTGGAATCATATAATTTGCTTATTTTTTTCTAATCATTAATCATCTGAAAGTATATATCAGTGAATAAAATAATGTCTGGTTCTTTTATATTCAAGTATTTATATACAGAATTTGTTGTCTGCTATTGAATGTTAAAATTTAACAAGATCAAATAGTGACATTAGCAAAAATTTGGATAAATTTCTATCATAATTACTACTTATAGGGAAAAATAAATTTAAAGTTACTTTAAATCATGTTGCTTTTCTTTGAGGGCTGCTATATATCATTAATTGCATATGTGAGATTCAAAATGAGAAGTCACTATGTAATTTGATAAAATTAGTTAAATTCTGTGAATTAAAAGATAAAAACAAAAATGTAAAGATTATTAAATATGAAATAATTTAAAGCTCCAAAACATTAACAATACAATGAATGTGTATATGTATACATAAAAAAGATATATAATATATATATATTGTAAATTTTTTAAACTTTAAATTATTTCATATTTAGCAATATTAATCTTATGCATTGAATGCATCTGAAAATTATAAAATTATGATGATGAAATAAAACTTGAAAACTAAACAAGTGTAATTTTTGATTTTTTTCATAATCTATTGGGTTGCTCAGAAAGTAATTTTTTTCATGGAAAAAAATTTTCTTATGATGCATAAATATTTTATCGAATTATATATTGACCACTTTGGTCCAATACCTTTTGCCATCTTTCTTGTAATAGCATGATAAACGTTCTGATCTTTGCTTACAAAAAACTGATTAAAGTGATTTTTGACGTTTTCATTTGAAGTAAATGTTTTACCGTTTAAGAAATTTTGTAAAGACCAGAACAAGTAATAATCTGAGGTTGCCAGATCTGGCAAATATGGTAACACATCCCATCCAAGCTCTAACAGCTTCTGATGAGTTACCAAACCTGTGTGAGATCTGACATTATCATGGTGAAACACTACACCTTTTCTGTTGATCAATTCTGGCCTTTTCTGTTTGATGGTATTGCTCAGTTTGTCCAGTTGATGGCAGTACACTTCTGAGTCAATTGTGAAATTGATAGAAGCTCAAAAAAAAATTCTCTTAAAATCCCACCAAACAGAGAGCATCGCTTTTTTTAAAATGAATATCAGCTTTCAAAGTGCTTGAGCAAGCTCATCTCTCCTACTCTATGATCACTTGCATTCAGCGTTGTTATAAACAATCTATTTTTTTGTCTCCAGTTATGATTCACTTCAAAAATGGATAATTTTCTTGATGTTTGGGAAGCAAATCACAGATGTCAATGTGATGGAGCTAATTTCTTTCTTTAAGAACATGTGGAACCCATATAAACCCAGCTTTGAAACGAAACCAAGTCATTTCAAGTAATCATAAATGGTTGAATTTGACAAATTTAATCTCTTGGCGATTTCTCATGTTGTTATTCAGCAGTTTGCTTCAGTCAGTACCTTTATTTTGTCTTCAACTTCAACTGGCCTTCTAGAACATGGTATATCTTCAATATCGAAATTTCCAGAATGAAATTTTGAGAACCAGTTTTGGCTTTGTTTTTCTGTCAACACATCATCTCCATACATGTCGCACAATTTCTTTCTTGCTTGAACAGCGTTCTTATCTTTTCAGTAATAAAAAAGCAAAATATGCCAAAAATGCAGCTTTTGATTTTCCATATTTGATGAGACAACAACAAAAAAACAATTGAAAGAATCAAACAAAATGTTTTATAAATAAGCCTTGAAATGTCAGCTGTCAAAATATATAATGACACAATATGATTTAGGATGAAGTTGGTGGGTAAAAATACAACTAATCTTACTGGTGGTAAAAAACTAAATTACTTTTCGAACAACCCAATAATTAAATTAATTATTTTTGGATAAAATGCATTTTAACGTATATGCTATGATTAACATAAATTATATTCCATTTATAAATAAATATATATATATATACTGAAGACATGCAGATTAGTATCTATTTTATTTATAGTTATAGTTATACAGAAAAAATAGTAACAACAGTCCTATTTAATAGATTTTTGATTCATTTCGGTTAAATTTGGTAATTTTATCCTTTAATATTAATATTTGTTGTATTAGGGAATTCAGGGATAGTCGGGTACAGAGAACTGATATTCAAAATTGAAACTATCTTCAGAATTTTTAAATACTATCAAAGTTTTTAAATTGTTTTTAAAAAATATTTTATGTAAATAGCAGAAAACTTGTAAGCACTTTTATTTTTCTTCATTATGTTAAAATTATTGGAAATGAAGTTGAAAACCATTTGTCAGAATTAATTAGATCATAACATTTTAATTAATGGAACTCAGGACTTTTGTGCTACATTTTTAAATAATTACTTTCCTAATGAAAACATACAGTAAAAATAATTCAAGAGTTAAATATGAGTGTCTATTGTCTGATCATTTTATTGTGATTGTACTGGATTATTATAATTATGTATTAGTTATAAACAATTTAGAGCATAAATGCTATACTAATAGTTATTTAATTTGACTAGGTGATGGTGCACCAAGACCAGGTCCACCAGCATACCCAGATCGTGATTATGATGGATATGGTGGTCGTGGTCCATCTCATGGATATGGAAATGGAGATTATGGTCCTCCACCTGGACCACAGAGTCGTTATGGTGGCCCATTGCCAGATAGATATGGAAGGTATGTTTAATTATAAATTAAATTTGAAAAATTTTTTAGTTATGTTGCATGCATTACTATTGAAATCTCAGTATTAACTTTTTGTTGAACATATCAGATTTGCATATAGAAATTTTTAAAATATTTGGGTGAATTAGTTAATTTAAACTGACAAAATTTGTTGATAAACAATGATTATTTTTTCAGAATATGTATTAGCATCAGTTGTTTATATGCCTAATGAAAAAAATTTTCAAATAATTTAGAAATTTTTAGAGAAAAGATTACATTTAGAAATGATAAATTATATTTTGTTATTTTTTATGCTTAAAATTAAGTGAACAGAAAAACCTGACATTTTGATTTATATTTCCATATTTCAAATACAGGCTTATCCATTAGAATGTACTCCTAGTTAACATTTTCCCAATAGAATGTGTCTTTATTTTTATTACTCAAACTTCAAAGAATGTGTTTATCTCTCAATAAAATGTTTTTGGCTGATGTTTTAAATAGTAAAAATTTTAAACTTTTTAAAAAAACTCAATGTACTGTACTTAATGTAGGAAAAGTCTCAAGATACATTCCATATATAGAATCACAGCAAACTTTTAAAAATACAATCTCTGTCTTACTTGGTAAATAACAGTTTATGAAAGGAAATTACTTTCTTATTATAATAAACCTTTGCTTTTTTTTCTAAAAATTTCTTTATTGCCCTATATTATTAGCTATATTGTATTCTACTTGTAAAAGTAACATTTATGATATGACCCACAGACTGTATACAGTAATACCCCAAACTTATGTGATAGGTGGGACCGAGCGGTAACTGCATAAGTCGGTATAATTTCACATATAAATACATACAAATAATTTTTAATTGGGGCTGGAGACTAAAGAAAACAATAATTTAGAAAAAAATGTTTAATAAAATCTTAGATAATACATATGTATAACAAATTAGGCCTATATTATTTTACAATTTTTCACATTTACTCGATTATTACGCCATAATTTTAACATTGTTTCCATCTCAGCGATAATACTGTGACGTTTACGAATGATGTTTGAATTTAAAGATTGAGTATTTTTCACATCTTTGAGAATTTTTTATTTGCCTTTTATAATTGTTCTGACTGACAATTCCGGTAGATCAAACTTCTTTGCCAATTAAAATTTTTCATTTTTGTATCGAAGTCTTTAATAATGGGTATGTTCGTAAAGTCAAACGAGTTAAACATGTTAGTAACAAATCGTTCAAAAAGTCTAACGAAATAGAAATAACGATGACTTCATTCTCGCTTAACTCGTTCGACTTTACGAACATACCCAATGTTAACTTTACATTCCAAAGATAAAGTTTTTCTTTTCTTGTTTGATGCAGAAGAATTAGTTCTACTTCGTTTGGATGACATAGTAGAGTCTCTCGAGTCTCCGTAGATATAACAAACACAGAAATAAATAACGCAAAATAAATTGTAGCTGTGTGTGGATTCTGTGCGACACGTCTGAACATGTAAGCTGAACAATAGTGTGGGGGAGTGAGTAATCGAGGATTGCGTGGCACTCAAACAAAAGATGAATCGAAGAGATTTGAAAATCTTGTAACTCCGGGTTTGCGTAAGTCAGGGTATTACTGTATATTACTATGTACAAAGCAGTAGTTGATAACATTATTGTTTCCTGATTTTAAAAAAATGATATTTTAAATGAGTTTGTTGTTTATATATGGATGTTTACTGTTTTGTTACATTTTAGAATTTTGAGTTTAGATTGTAACATATAACTTTTTCTGTTTTAAAATAATGGGAAATGGATTCTCAATTAATGTTTTTCTGCAGAACATATGATTTTCAGGGATGAATTACTGATATTAAGCACAGGATGACTGTAAATATACTATACCAATGTAGAGGTTACAACCAAGGTGCTATGATGAATCTATGGGTACTTGATGAATCTTTTTTTTACTTGGCTTGGCAAGAATATTTGAATGAATATATTGTATTTCTGGTCTACATGCTTAGAAATGCAATTTAGTTTGAATTTCAGATGGTTATTGATATAAGTTTAGTTTTCGGGAGTTGTGGATTCAAATTTATTCTGAATCAGTCTTTTGTCTAGACGTTTTTAAATCATTAATTAAAAATTAATTGTAATTATTATAATATATGAAAGAGTTTAACATTACTGGTTTGTTTTGTTTTCAGATCAAATTACATTGTTGAAAGCATAAAATCAGTCAGAAAAATTCAGTTGTCTATTTAGTTTTGGTTTATAATTTTCAAATTTTATACATATGTATTATATCATTTGAAATATATAGAATATCTGTATAGAGGTTTTGTATATCTTGAAATGTGTTTTATAATATAAAGATTAATTTGTTCCGTTTCATCTTTTATTGAATTTTGATGTATTTCTGTTTTGCATAATTGAATGACAAAACTTTTCTTAAAATAATTAAAAATTATGAAATTGTTTTGTCGTTATAAGTAACCTAATTGAAGTTCCTTGTTACTTGAAATTTTGATTTAATATGTTTTGCTTTTATTTTTCTGGGCTAATGGGTTAAGTATGGTGCAGTCTTGATAATCTGAATCTGTGTTAATCTAAAATAGCTTTTTCTTGCCAAGTTAATAGCAAATTTCATGATTTTGAATTTTATTTAATTATAACTGATATAAGTAATGTATACATTATCATGTATATAATAGAATAGCAGAAATTTCTTATGTTTTTATAAAGATTTCACATTATTGAACAAATTAATGAATAGTAAGGTTTAGATTTTTAGTCACTTTCAACCAAGGAAAGAGAGAGGCAAATAAGCTGTTAAAATTCTACTTTTAGGTAATAAGATTAAGGCAAAATAGATTTGAAACTTTATTGTGATGTACTGTAAAGGTCAACCTAAATAAAAATTTACATCTATTTTATCTAGCACTTTCAAAAATATTTAAATGATTTTTAAAATTATTTAAAAAAATTACTTATCAGGATTATGTTTCTTACAAGATACTGTGCTTTAAGAACAATTGTTTTTTCTTATGTAATATTTTCAAGTCAATTATTTCAAAATATTATGTAATAAAGAATAGTGAGTATCTTCAATATAAATTTTTTAAAAGTCTCTAGGAATACACTGTAATGTTATTTAAATTTTGTTTAAAACTTGTCTTGTTCTTTATAGTATAATCTGAAAATGGAACTGATAAGTTCCAAAACATTTGAAAATTTTTGAAAGATAACAATAGTTTTGAGTTTAAAACTTTCAATTTTTATATACTAAGATGCATTAAATTATAAATTAAAAAAAATTTAATTGTTATTGTTTATTGAAATAAACTATAATCAAGCAATCAATATATTTGATTATTATTATTGAAATATAAAAAAGTAGGAATCACAAAAATTATTTCATAAAATTTATCAAAAATGTTGATGTAAGAAGAAAAATGTGTTCAGTGAAATAATTTTTATAAAATATTCACACGATTTATTTATAGATATGAAAGTGACATGTATGATGGTCGTAATGAAGGTCCACCACCTGGCGCACGAGGCCCGTTATATGGTCCTGGTCCTTCTCCTGGAGGACCAGGTGGTCCACAGCAAGGTTCTGTTGTCATGATTTATGGTCTTGCTCCTGATAAAATGAATGCTGATAGACTTTTTAATCTTTTTTGTTTGTATGGCAATGTTGTTCGTGTAAGTATTCCATGAAAATTTATTGTTTATGTAGATTTTAATTAATAAATTTAAAATTAAAAAAAAAGAAAGTTTTACAGACTAGTTTTTCTATAAAAGTTTAAAGTTTTCAGGTAAAAACACTGTCAATTACTAATATAATAAAGCTAAATTGGTCTCACTGACTGACATGAAATATTTGAATAGAAAAATGAAATGATACAATTGAAAGTCTGTCTGACTATGTTTAATACCCATAAAATCCATTATAAATTTTTAATGATTATTTTTGGTTAAAATTGAAAGTCACTTGCAATTTTGTTTGCAGTATTTTAGCATCTCACTTCTGGAATTTTTGGCTTACATTATCTTGAATATATTTTTAAACAATTATATTTCAATGAATAATTACTGGTAAAAAAAAAATATATATATCAAACATAATACAGATGCTATTTCTGCAGATGTATTAACCCTCCGTAAGTCGCTAGGAATGGGGCCCTTACTTGAGTCGCATGGGTCTTACAGACCCAGTGTTTTTAATATGAAATAATTCAATTTTATCTATCGCGTAAAGAAACTACAGTTTCTTAGTTGGATTCTGCGCTTTGTTTTCTATCTAGTGATATAAATTACTTGCGTATTGACAAAATGAATTTTCTAATATTTATTTTTATGTAATTCGATATGAAAAACGCAAAAAAATAAACATATCAAATTTCAACTCGCTGTAATTTATCTCCTGTTTCACCGATTGCCATCGGGTTTGTTTGTAAGTGGGGAAGAAATATGACACTTTCAAGCGAAGTGAGTAGAACTTTTGCACTACTGCGAGAAAATTTGTCAACCGACCCCGCGTTACCCCCTACCGCGAAAGTCAATAAACGTTAATTGTTTTATGACTCTATTTTCAACACTTCTTTTCTGAGTTGTAAATCGACTAATTGACAAAGATTTTACTTCATTTTACTCATAAGAATGTTGT